GGAACGTGCAGCCCGTGCACTGCAGCCCCAGCGCCTTTGGCCTACTCTTGCATCGCAGGCCTGCCTCTTCTCTTCTTATGGGCTTCCAAAAGCGACGTTACGCATTTTGCACCGCCTTCAAACCCTCCCCCGCGACTTGAAACCCTTCCCAGCGCCTTTGGCCTACTCCTGCATCGCAGCCTTGCCTGCGTCAGCCGGGAGCCCCCCAGCGCCTTTGGCCTACTCCTGCATCGCAGACCTGCCTCTTCTCTTCTTATGGGCTTAGCGACGTTAGGCATTTTGCGCCGCCTTCAAACCCTCCCCCGCGGCTTCAAACCCTTCCCAGCGCCTTTGGCCTACTCCTGCATCGCAGCCTTGCCTGCGCCAGCCGGGAGCCTGGGGAGAGAGCCTCTGGAACGTGCAGCCCGTGCACTGCAGCCCCAGCGCCTTTGGCCGACTCCTGCATCGCAGGCCTGCCTCTTCTCTTCTTATGGGCGTCCAGAAGCGACGTTAGGCATTTTGCACCGCCTTCAAACCCTCCCCCGCGGCTTCAAACCCTCCGCAGCGCCTTCAAACCCTCCGCAGCACCTTTGGGCCTACTCCTGCACCGCAGCCTTGCCCTCTTCTCGGCAGCAGGCTTGCCTCTTCTCTTCTTATGGGCTTCCAAAAGCGACGTTAGACATTTTGGACTGCCTTCAAACCCTCCCCAGCGCCTTCAAACCCTCTGCAGCGCCTTCAAACCCTCGGCAGCGCCTTTGGCCTACTCCTGCACCGCAGCGTTGCCCTCTTCTCGGCAGCAGGCCTGCCCTCCGCAGCGTTCAAACCCTCCCCAGCGCGAAACCCTCTGGAACCGTACACTGCAGCCTTAGAACTGACCTCTGGAACCTGCCACCTCGGCCTGCACCTCGTTTCTTTGGGGTCCTCCAGGCACCGTCAAACCCTTCCCGGCACCTTTGGCCTAGTCCTGCAACACAGCCTGGCGCGGCTCCCGTTTGCCCGGTGGTTGCGTGGCTTCCGGATGATTGGTCTATACTCTATTTCTTTGTTTCGTGCTTGCGCTCTTGAACTTGCCACGTGTTTTTCGGGCATGGTTTTCCCGCTGGCGTGTTGTGTTGGCACCGAACGCGCCCAAACAACTGTGATGACCAGACCACAGTCTGGCACGCTGGGCATGTGTGCGGATGCTGCCGCGTCTGCGTGCTAACCGTGCCTTCTTTCACACAGAACTGGTTGCCGCACACGGTTCGGTGATCTATCTGCCCTGTCCTCACGTTACTTGCCACAGTTCCATTGCAAAATGGACACGCATAGACTAAGTTCTTCGCGGCAACGTGTCCGTCTTTGACACGAAAAAACTTCCCGCACACACGGCGGTGATTTACTTGGCCTGTGCGCACAGTGCTGGTGACAGACACCTCACAAAAAGGACACGCATAATGGAAGATTTCCTCGGCGGCCGTCTGTCCAGCCAACTTTGCCGGCGGTGCGAGTGTCGTCTGCGCGGCTGTCGGGGTGGCTTGCGTCTCTTGTTGCGGCTTTGCATGCGAGTTTCGTAGTGGCGGCGGCGCTGTCCTGGCTTGGCTGCTCACCGACACGTGTTTTGCACGCTTCGCTGCAGGCTCTGCCTGTGCTACTTGCGTTGTCTGTGTGCAGGGCTGGGTCTTGGTGGGCGTCGGCTGTGCTTGCTTGTCTTGTTGTGGTTCCATGTGGCGTTTGCGCGACGGCAGGCTGTCTGTGGAGAGCCTTTGTGCCTCCGGTTCCGTCTTGCTTTGCGCCATCTGGCGTTCTTTTCTCCGATTCGGCTCCTGCGCCCGGGGAGCGAGCACCTCATGCTGCCGCGTCTGTGTGCTAACCGTGCCTTCTTTCACATGGAATCGGTTGCCGCACACGGTTCGGTGATCTACCCGCCCTGTCCTCACGTTACTCGCCACAGTTCCATTGCAAAATGGACACGCATAGACTAAGTTCTTGGCGGCAACGTGTCCGTCTTTGACACGAAACAACTTCCCGCACACACGGCGGTGATCTACTTGGCCTGTGCGCACAGTGCTGGTCACAGACACCTCACAAAACGGACACGCATATTGGAACGTTTCCGCGGCGGCCGTCTGTCCAGCCAACTTTGCCGGCGGTGCGTTTGTCGTCTGCGCGACGGTCGGGGTGGCTTGCGTCGCTTGTTGCGGCTTTGCCTGCGACTTTCGTTGTGGCGGAGGCGCTGTCCTGGCTTGGCTGCTCACCGACACGTCTTCTGCACACTTCGCTGCAGGCTCTGCCTGTGCTACTTGCATTGTCTGAGTGCGGGGCTGGGTCTTGGTGGGCGTCGGCTGTGCGCGCTTGTCTTGTCGTGGTTCCATGCGGCGTTTGCGCGACGGCATGCTGTCTGTGGAGAGCCTTTGTGACTCCGGTTCCGTCTTGCTTTGAGCCGTCTGGCTTTCTTTGCTCCGGTTCGGCTCCTGCGCCCGGGGAAAGAGCACCTCATCCTCGGCTTGCTTCTGTCGCACATGGTCAGCGATCTCTTCCCGTACAAGACCTATGACTTGCTGTCTCTTTTCTTCGGCTACTTTCGTCCGCGTCGCAGCCAGGCGCCGTATGGCTCTATGAGCGACACTTCGTGGCCACCGCTGCCCGTGGCAGCTGTCGACCGGTGCATCCGCCCGGGCAGGCCGTCCTCTGCACCGCGCACGTCCGTCGTTTGCGTGCTGCGCTGCTGCGCGCTGGGCCGCGCTGAGGACGCAAGCGTTGCAACGCTGCGTTCCGTTTTGCGGCGCAGTGCGCTGCCTGGACCAGGCGCTGAAGTCATTGCACGCCTTACGTTCCGCGCACACGGCGCAGCGCCATGCACCCTTCACTTTCATGGCGCAGTCCCTGCAGACACGTCGGTGTGCATGGCGCCCTGTCCACGCGGCCGCCCCGAATGCACTTTCCGGCTTGGCCGTACCGCACTTGTAGCACCGCTTCTGTGCCTCGCACGTCTGGCACACGCGGTAGAACGTGCATGCGGGGCGCGTGTACATTCTAGCAAAGGCGTCTTCGTGCTTCCATGCCTTGCAACTGTTGCATTGCCAGGGCGTGTTGTTGGCCGCGTAGTTGCGCACGCATTCTCTGCACACACGTGCGTCCGCGTCCCGTTTCCATTGCCCGGCGCTGTACCCGCTTCTGGGTTTGCTTTCGCGGCACTCGCTACACACTTCCTCCTCGCGGTGCCGCATGCGCAACGTTGCCCAGTCAATGCTCTCTCCGCGCCAGGCCTGCAACAGCAAAGCTCTCCCTACGCTGCGTCCTTTCTGATAGGGTGCAGCATCGAATGGTCTGTATATGTGTAACCCGTGTCTATCTTTCACTCGCGTCACAGCGATGTATGCGGTCAGCGGGTCTCCGCCTTCGCCGATCTGCATGTCCGTGACTGCCCCTTCTGCGTAAGTTTGGCCCTGCGCTGCGTGCGCCGTGGTGGCAAACCCGGGTGCCAACGGAAATTGCCGTCGCACCACCCGCAGCATGGGCCGCTTTCGGCCTTTGTCCAGATGCCACGCTTGCCGTTGGAGCGTCACCGGAAACACGTTGTCCGTGGCCAGCCCCTGCACTCGCCACTCTGACTTGGTCTGGAACCGGACAAAGACACAACTTGGGAGCTCATTCCAAATCTGTGTCGTACTCCCTGCTGCGGCGCCCGCTGCTTCATGCCAGCTCCATCCAACAACTGTGCCCGGACATCCCTTCAGTATGCCTCTGCGGCGATCCAAGTGATCGGTTGCCGTGACCGGCATGCCGATGCACAAGGGCAAAACCCCGTACAGCCCGCCACAGTCCTGATCGTGACGTTGCAGCCATGTCAACTTGTCTTTGCCCAAGTCCGGTTTTTCTTGCAACGCCCGGCTGGAAATTGTGTCTTTTGCAATGGCATATTTGACCGCCTGCCCGTGCTGGCGTGCCCAGTTTAGCGCCCGCAGCTTGTTGACGTGGTACTTCACCGCATTCGTCGCAAACACAGCCTTTGCTTGCTCTAGCTTCCTTTGCTCATCACCCCTCATGTTTCCTTCCAACACTCGCTTTTTCGAGGCGCGTTCGTGCTGGCATTGCTTGCACTCGAGTCTGCGAATGCGAGCAGGGACGACTTTCCTCTGCAGCAGTTGCTGGCACGCTGCGTTTTCGCAGTCCAATTTTTCGCCAGACCAACTTCCCGGGACACCTGTGTCGTGCCCATGGAGGAAGGCGTGATTGTCGGCGCTCAAGGCACCTTCCCGAATCTGCTGCTGCAGCGTCTGCAGCCATGTGTCTCGCGTGCGCTCACATTGCTCGAGTTCTGTGATGCCGTGGATGATGCTGTTCTCCGTCTGCGAGCCCCACACAAGCTTTTGCCCATGCACGGTGTGGGCGACTTTTTTGCTGCTCCCCTTGGTCAGCATTTCCCAAGGCACTTCCCCCAAAAAGGTTCCGCGTGGTGGTGGCAATTGCCATAAATCACCTGCCACTAGTACGTTCAACCCTCCGAAGGGCTGCGCGTGTGCGCTGCCCGGGGCGTACTTGCTCTGCGCTAGATCGCGCACTAGCTCTCGGCATCGTAAATCCATTCTTGCCAGCAGCTCAGCGCTGACCATGCTTATTTCATCAATGATCAGCCACCGCCATTGCACGGCCTTCGCACTGAGGTCGAGGAATTTCCTTCCGGTGGTTCAGACAACCTCCCAAACCCACCCCCAACAGGTCAGGATCTTCCGGGCGGCTGCTTCGTGTGAGCCGTCATCCAGGCAACATGGCAGGAACACGCACTCACCAGGAACGTCAAGTTGCTTATGAATGTCTTGGTGATAATATCATGTGTGGGTTTGACGAGGGCTACTTGTGCCAAAAGGCTACCACAAAAAGGGAACGGTCTAACGCATACACGCCCACATGCGTCATCATGCGTCAGAATAGGGTCCCCCAAGCCTTATATGGGTATATAGAAATAGGTGCATAATTACTTCACTGATATATATATACACCTTGTTCAGACTAGATGGCTATATCCGGAAACGAATCGATGGCACCAGAAAGTGCCAAAAGCGCACGCGGCAAACCGTGGAAAACAAGATATATACCTATGCATCCTCAAGCATAATAGATGGCATTCCACCCATTCACAGAGTAGACTTGCGCCATCTTCTGCAAAGAACACTGATATAAGTCGTTGATTTTTGTAGACAACCTCTCTGTTAAATTCCAACTGTTTTTCATGTTCTTCTCTTTGAACTGTCTTTCTCTCTCCTTCTTTCATATTCTATCTCTCTCTCTCTCTCCTTCTCTTCCTTTCTCCTTTGCTATCCATTCCTTAATGTCTCCTTTCCCTCTCCTTGGATGCCTTTCTCTTCTTTCCTTTCCTTCATTCACTTCGCCTTTCTCTATCCTTCCCTTGCCTTTCCCTTCACCTTTCCCTTTCCTTGCACTTGCACTTGAAACAGTAACAGAACGCTGCACGATAATAGCCCCGTAGATGGCACAACACTTGTAGGAAAGTCCACTTACAACTGGGTGTCTTCCAAATAGCAACTGGGTGTCGGCTTGGTGATGGGATCGTTGGGTCGCGTTGGGCATTTGATATGTCATTGCATAGTGCCATTTTGGACCAAACTTGTTTGTTAGCCCGCCGTTGTCACCAGTCGTAGTCTCAGCTACATCAAACATTGTTCAAATTACAGGAGTTTGAACGATTTCTTTTCGCCTCAATTGAGGCATGCCGATTTGGAGATATGATTCTCAAGGGGACATTGATTGTTGTTCTGACGATGCGTCAGTTGAGACAGAGAGGCTAGATCAGATGTGTGTCTCAAACAAACTTCAAAGGATAAGTACATGGGTTCCAACTTATGTGCAGGTGGCATGCTCCTGGAAGGCTTCATTTAACCTTGCATCAAAAGAAATGTTTGGAGTTTGGCGCAGACTTTACTGATGCCACTGGTGGGACTCCCAGCAGAGTGTTTAGTTTTTTTTTAACGCCGCTTTTCAACCTTTCTCTTGCAATGTCTTTTCATGTCATTTGCATCAGGCCTCGTAGACCACTTAACGCCGATGGGACGACAACTGCGGGTGATCACAGACTGCTAGGGGCTTATTTAATGAATAAAACAACTGTTTTTTGGAGGTTCCAAGTCATATCTTATCAGGTTCTGGGGCTGAAGCTCCTATGGTTGCTTTGCACCTCATGCTTGGCACAGACTTTGTTGAGCATTTGCCCAGACCTCAGCAAATGCTTTGTTCCCCTCAGGGCTGCAGTTTTAATGTGCGTCGCTACACAAATTAAGGTCTGCCTGTGACATTGCAAAAGGCCCCCAGGAGTACATCAAAAAGAATTTCCCAAATGCAGAGCCAAAGCCTCGACTTTTTGCTATTCTTCTTTACTGTAACTTCTTTTGTTCTTGAGTTCAGGTTGCACACAGATGTATTTACCCGGGAGGTTGACAAGTTTGTTGGCCAGGCGCAACAAAGGAAGTTGCTCCAAATTTAATGAGTGTAAATTCAACAACCTTGTTTGTGTTCATTTGTGGTTGGAAGGCTGATATATACGTCGCCGGATTCCCATGCAAAGCTTTCAGCCGCCTGAGAAGTTTCTCACTATGGCTTCAAGACCCACAAGCCAAGCCCTTCTATGCTTGCGTGAATAACATCAAACGCATAAAGCCATGTGTATCCTGACGTTATAGTATGGACAATTTGGTGTATAGCTTTCGCTAGCATTCCTATCCTCCCAGTTTCTTTTGATCTAAGGCATGTGTGTTGGAGAATGTACTTGGGCTTGCGACAGTCCTGCCAGAGATCAAAGATCATTTGGCCAAAGAGTTGCCAGAGTATGACATACACATCACAATCCTGTCCCCGTAATTCAGCTGAATCATCACAGTGTGATATTGAAGACCTTTTGTTTGTCTCATGTAAGCATCATGGCCCCCTTGTCCAGGCAGCAATTCGGTGTGAACTTGGCCAGGGAGCGCTACTATTTCCTGCTTGTGCGCAAAGAGTATTTGACAGGGGAGCTGGCAGCTATTGCTTCCAAAACTTTGACAGATTTGCGCAACAAGTTTGACCATTGCGAGCCATGGTGGGGTGCCCAGGGGTTTGTATTTCATAGAAAGCGTTTACCAATAGACATTTGGTGTGCCATTTTTGGTGGCCCTTTATGTCTCCAGGCAAACCTTCTTGCTGCCAAATGATCATCCTGCGGTGGTGGAAAGAAAGGACCCATAGACTACAGTTTCACAGAGGATATCATGTTTTGTCACAGTGTTCGGCAGGAAAAGAAACAGAAGCCGATGAATCAGAAAAAGTATTGCGTAACGAACAAGCACGAGCCTTATGGTTTGATGTTTTTTTGTGCTTTCCATATGTTTGCCTGCGAAGCTTTCATCAGAAATTTGGGAAGGCCAACCACAACAGAACCAAAGTGGAGACACATTCACTGGGAGTACATGAAGGACAACGAGGTGCTGCCACACAGTTGTTTTGGGAGTGCTTGTCGTTGTTGATGCTGCTTGCAGGTAATCAAGAAGAATTTGAAAAAGGATGTTGACCATTGGCAGCAGCATTTCAAAACACCTCGGAATTGTCAGGCTCCTCTTGTTGGTTTCAAAGAATGCTAAATTTAGACCAGCCCACGCTTCCGCTTTTGCAAGGCAGTCGCCATTCTGTCTTCTGTGAAGCCAAGTTGGGCTGTGTGCGACCTTTCTCAAAACCTCAATCGCATGCCGGTTGTGCTTGGCAATGGGGCTCCATTCATGTGTATTACGCCTGGACCTCAGCCTGGCAAAATCATTGTGTGTATGTACCTTCTGGCAATCTAAACAGGCCTGGTGGACACTACTGGGTCCGCGAAAAGAAACGCAGTTTGCTAGGCAAGGATGTGTGGAGCAGTTTGCAGTTAATGACTTGTTGCATTGAAGGCTGTTCTGAAAATCAGGCTTGGAAAAATTCATGCTGATGGGCTTTCCGGTCCACCTGCTAGATGTCGACATGATCTCTGACCGGGACAATCTGGCGTGTTTTCAGTTTCAGAGTTTGTTAGCAGCATCAAACTCCTCCCAGAACCCTTCCCGCGCAGCATTTCATTTTCACCGCTCCAGGTGCTTGGAGGTATGGCAGGCAATGCCATGCACATCCGTGCCATTGCAGCCGCCTTGGTGTGCGTGCTCAAGGCAGGCAAGTGGCTTGCTGCCAGTGTGCTGGCTGCAAATGTGTTGGCTGCATGACTTGCTGCCAAGTTTTTGGCTGCAAGTGGCTTGCTGCCAACTTGTTGGCAGCAAGCCCAGGTAGATAACTATTATGTTATGACTATTTCGCATCATCGCTGTTCCTTTGTCTCAGGCTCTTGACGTTCCAAAAATGGCCATGCCAAGGACACAAACAAGCTCACTTTGGTGTGTGTGTGTCTAATGGCCTGGCATGAACAACTCAGTCTAACTAATGGCTTTGTGCACTAGGACGTGAATCGGACTGGCGCTGGCGTACTCGACGATCAGTGGGACGCTCAATGATAGACTCCAAAAACCCAATTGCATCAGAAATTGCTTCAGCTGATTGTTCCTTTTGTGTTTGGATAGCATCCAGAGCTTCTTCCAACATGGTTTTGGCTTTGGTCATCTTCTCGATGCAAGTCCGGTCTATTGAATCTTCCAACTCCTCAGCTTTTTTCAAAGCCCCTGCAATTGCGTCTTTGGCCAACATCACCCTATGTTCCATTGCGGGCAAACATTGGGCCAGCATCAGATCTTCTTGCAGGTTCGCGAGATCATCTTCCGCCATCATCCGGGAAGCTGTGGGCTCTGTCATGAAGCACAGTTTCAATCTGTTGCGTCGACAGATTTATGTTCATATAATGTTCATTCTTATAAGGTGCTTGGAAGGTGTTGGAAGCAGCACGTGTTGCCTCCATGTATTTGATTCATGTGGGCAATTGATGGGCATGTGCGCTCTTAAAGACATGTTGATTTTACTTGGATCCACTTGATATGGCTTAGTGAAATTTGGCTCAACATGATGCTGCTGGCTAAAGTTGAAGATGGTGACCCTAAAGCTGCCAAGAGCAGCAGGGATCTCATCTGGGAATGCTTTCAACAAGTCATAGTCTTAGATTTTGCTTAGTCCTACAAATCATTCGATATCAAGTCAAGGCTTTCGCATTCGTCACCAAGGTCACAGCCAACACCAACCTGGGCACCTGGCTCAATGATGAGTACGGCGACCGCACGAAGATGAGCGCAGTCCTTGACAGAGTGGTGATGGATAGACCTTGCAAGGAACCCATTCCTGGTTTGGTAGCAATTGAGCCATTGCATACCTTGAACGAATGCTTCATTGGGATCGATCAGCTGGACTATGGGCAAAATGCCAAACATGGTTGCTGCTAGTCTCAAACCTTCTGATGCGCATTCCAACCAATTGCAAGTTCTTGTGATTGAACACCGCGAACCTGCAACTAAGACTTTCCCCACATGGCGACAGTGGCAACTCACTTCAAGAACATTGTCTATCGCAACTTCGACCCGTACCGGGAACCACTGTGCATTCGGTTCGTTAGCACAGGGGAAAGGACTGTGCAACCTTTCTCTGTCAAGTATGTGGATGGGTT